CTGTATGAAAGTTTATCTGGGCTGCTTCGCAACGAGCACGATGGCGTATGAAATCGGGAGCGGCAGTTGTCCGCCCACAACGCTCCGCGAACGCACGAGCCATTTCGTTCGCCACCTTAGAGGGGTCCAGTATGTCCTGGCCATTCATATGAAGTACGGGGTGCGGCACTGAGGACTGTTGGCATGCTAAACGCTTCACCCGCGCCCAAACGACCGAAGTCGGCGTTTGGCAATTTAGCTGGCCCACATATAAACGCCAAGACGTACGCTTGGCTTCCAAGACAGTACGTCGGGCTGCCGCCCGAGCTCGTCGAAAAGCGATTAAGTTGTCCGTAGTGCTGTGTCGATCGAAGTCTCGCAGGGCTTTTTTACGCGCACGTATAGCATCGCGGCACTGGTCCGTCCACCACGGAACAGGGGGACGACGTGGTACACCAGATGTACGTGGAATGCTTTCTTGTGCCGATCGTAAGATTGTGGAGGTGAGTTCTTCTATCGATGCAGGCACATCCGCCGAAACGGAAGCCAACCTGGTTTCCACCCGTGCCTGAAATTCATCCCAGTCAGCCTTTCTAAGATTCCACCGTCGTGGCCTGGAACCGAGAGCTGCTCCGTTCTGGTAGCGCAGCCAGATGGGGTAATGATCGCTGCCAAAGGCGTCGTTGTCAACGGACCATGTCAGGTGTACCGCCAGTTGGGGGCTTGAAAGACTCAAGTCCAGCGCCGATGTCTGGCCTGACGGCAGCGTCATGTGAGTTCGGGTCCCGGTATTTAAAAGACAGAGTGATTCATCACGTAAAAAAATTTCGCAATGCCTGCCGCGGGTGTTGGTCTGGGCGCAGCCCCAAGATGTGTGGTGAGCATTAAAGTCACCCAGCAATAGAAGAGGCGGGGGAAGCTCGGTCACCAGAAATCTCATTTCTGCCGTCGGAAATTGAATACCAGGAGGTAAGTACAGCGAGCAGACGGTTATTGCACGACGCCCGAAAAGTATCTTAGCTGCAACAGCTTGCAGGTCAGAGCGTAAGACGACGCGCTGGGCAAAGACACTGTGGTGCACAGCCAAAAGAACTCCGCCATGTGCAATTGGATCAGCTGGCGTATCCCGACGCATTACGGTGTAGCTCGGGATACTAAAATGAGAGCCAGGTGCCAGTTTGGTCTCCTGCAGGCAGGCGATGGCGGGACAGCGCTCATTCAGAATGACTCTGAGATCGTGTACACTAGTTCTCACGCCCCTGCAGTTCCACTGTAAGATACTTGTCACAAAGCTAAGAGGTGAGGGTAGCCATTACACACCCGGCTCACCAGCACAGCGCGCAGAATATCACAGTCAATAAGCCTGCAAGGGGGTGCACTAAAAAGGGGTCAAAGTCACACTTTAAGACGCGACACGGTTCAAAAGAACTGGGCTGCGCCCGTTGCAGGACCGGATACCTCGGTCTGGGAGGTACGGCTCGATTCCGCAGAGCGGTGCTCCACTCTGGGCCGAATCCTTGGGCTTCCTCCGTCGGATGGAGACGGAGGACAGGCCGGGGGGCGCTTTGTGCCAGCGTGCCCAATCCTGGGTGGTGGAGGGGGAGGACCCATGGATGGGGCCCTGCCAGACGTCTGAGGACCAGCGGGAGGCTCAACTGGTTTTCTGGGCGATGGAGCACCGCTGCGAGGGATGGACTCCTTACCCGCCCCAGACGTACGGCTCGCCGCCTTTGCCCGTTCTTGTTCAGCCAGACGCGCCCGCTTGGCATCGCGGGCGCGCCTGTCCGCATCGTGCCGCTCCAACGTTTCTATCGCCAGCCCACATGTGTTCGCTGATGGAGTCGGAGGTGACGAAGGCAGCGGAGCACACGAAGCGGAGGCGGACGAAGGTGGCGAGGAAACCGATGTGGAGGCCGGTGGAGCCCGCGGGCCACGGCCACGCCGGACCACCGTCCAGCCCTCCTCTCCGGCAGGAGACGGCGGTGCCGTGGGAGTCGGCAACGCGGAAGGTGCCGACCGGCCAGGGGGCGAAGAGGTTGCCAGCACGGTCTCCTTCGACCGCTCCAGCGAGGGAGGGGGAGCCAGGGCTGCCAGACTTGAGTCCAGCGCCTGGTTCGTCGACACAACCGAGAGACCAAACGACTTCAAGAGCGCTACAAACTGAGCAGCGGTCATTTGATCAGTGGAGGTCGGACGTGCGTTGGAGGTCTTAGCTTTTTCGGCGTACGATGTTCTTGGGTGGCTCTCCTCGTACAATGTTCTGGCCTCGCGAAGAGATGTTGCGTGTGGTTTTAATGGATATAATTTCTTTTTCCTTCACGTACGCTGGGCACGTGCGGTCGTAAGTCGCGTGCGGAGCCTGGTCCTTGTCACAATTCACACAATGCACTCTCTCTGAGTCGCAAAGTTCCATTGCGTGTTCGGAGGAAGCGCATTTCCCACAGGCAGGCTTGTTGCGACAGTACTGTTTGGTATGACCAAATCGCTGGCAGTTGAAACATCGCATGGGGTTCGGGATGAAGAGGCGCACCTTGACACGTGCGTATCCCACACGTATCTCGGACGGCAAGTCAGGGCGACTGAACGTATGAGGTTGTTGGTGGGCACCAACTCTCCTCCCCTTCTGACGAGGATCCGTCGAACGGCGGTCACTCCAAACTCCGAGAGCTCCTCCAGGATCTCTTCCTCGTCAACGTCACGTAGATCGAAACAGTTCACCACGCCCCTGGACGAATTTTTGGTGTTGTGTGGTGTCGCTGTCATTGACACTGTTTTTTTTCCAATTTACCGGCCCCATCCCGAACACTGTACGAAAATTCAGTTGCTTGCATAGCCCGATTCGCCTCCTGATCACTAGCAAATTCAACTTCTATTTTTCCATCCCGGAGCTTGTCACATCTTATAATTTTTCCAAATTTGTCGCAGCCATTTCTTCTCTGAAACGGTGAGAGGGACGCCAACCTAACCTCTTCACTGTGGAAGACGAGGATCCGTGGTCCGGGGATAGCAGAGTCTTTTCTGCATCCTTGGGTTGTCGTGGTCCGACCCCCTTTCGGAGGACGGGTGTTTTTTGAGGTAGATGCCATGCAGAAAGGGTTTTTCTTTCGGCACCGGGGCTCCCCACCCACCTCGGAGCCCAACTGGGGGACGGCCCACTCACCAGCTGGTGGTGGTGCCGCCAGGGCAACCTCGGTGCTATACGGGGCGGACGACGCCTCCCGCACGGCCAGGTGTAACCGGGGAGACCCCTCCCCGTCCTGACCGTGGTTCAGCGCCGCCGCCCCTTGACCCCCTAAGCCGCTGCGCGCGGCCAGGCGCCCCAAGCGGAGACCCGCAAGGAGCACCTAACCGCAACGCGAGCGACAAGCCGCTAGACCCGTGTGGGGCCCCACGGGCCCCCCACGCCCCCGGATATTCTGGCCAAAGTGGAGTGTTGGGACGCGCCGTGGCTGACCCGCACGACGCGCCCCTCAGCCACCAGGATCCGATCAACCCGGGGACGTGGGCGAGGGGGCACGGCGACCCCGATAAAACGAGGATGAGGAGTGGTGATAGGGCCGGATGCGGGAGTGCGGGTAAAGTGGAAGGAGCGGGCGGGACAAGGAGCAGGAGCTCACGTACCGCCAGGGTCGCTACGCCCTGAGAGGAACAGCTTGCGCTGTCCACCCGTTACCGGAGCTGGGACCCGAGGGGGCGCTAGTCCCCTACACCGACCGAAGCCGGTGCCCCTGCGGGGACGAGATACACAGGCATATTTTCTTAATCCCGACGGTCACCACATTCCTTTCGTTTTACCATTCGAATTTCTAGGTCTCATTCTTGATACAAGATAATCAATGTGTAAGCACGTCGAACATGTCCGCACCAAACGCATAAACGCTTGAATCTGTTCAGATTCGCTTGAGTTGTCGCACTGACCTTGATCGTAGTTGGCAGCCAACCTAAACTAACTTCTCCCATTTCTCGGAAATCTTAGCCCCCAACTTGTCCGATCCACCATGACTTGAAGAGAATGAACGAGCGTGCATGCTACGCCTAGTCTCCTGGGGCCGCGCACGGGATGATGGCTATGACGGATTAAGCTGAAATCTAACTCCCGTTGAACAGAATATTGATATCAGAATCTCAAAGAATCGAGAACTACTATTCGATTACTTTGAGGAGGTGGCCCCAACCCTTGGCAGCTCACAATGTTGAAGCCCTTCCCCTTGACGAAATCCTTGGTCCGCCACTGAACGCGCTAAGATAGCCGTCCTTGAACCAACAGCGATGCTGTCGGCGGAAGTTTCGGTAGGTTGATAAGCCCTCAACCGTCTGAAAGGCCTCCATTCAGTGTGTAGCACAGGCTGGGATTCATTCGGTATGCTGTTCCGTAGGGTGCTAATCTGCGCCGATAGGGCCGGTGCATGGGGCGTCGCATGTCAAGGCCAGGACGTTGCCGAGAACCCGGGTAGCGTGGCAGGCGGCCACCAGCCGGGCGCTCGTGGGACCCTGGCCCCGAATGGTCGGCGCGTACTTCCTCACACCATTGAATGCAACTCCGCAGTCTCATGAACACATGGTTCGTCTTGGCTAAGTCCTGACATGGGCGGACACAAGTCGCGCAAAGCAGCAGTAATTTGGGGAGGCCGGCGGCTCCAGGAGCCGAAGTATCCGGTTCCCAGTCGAGACAACGGTCCCCGGCGCCAGCGTGCACTTCGGTGGTTCTTCTGCTCAGGTTCTTTTTATAGTCCTTGGCGCTGCACCGTCATCCCCACCCTCCTCGCACTTGAGACTATTCAACGAGGTCACCGTGTGCTGGTTTGTGGCCGAGTGGACAGACCCTCCCAGTGATCTGGGGCCCAGCATACAGCCGTAACATATCAGTAGTGCAACAGTGGGTACCAGTAGCAGAGCGGCCCAGTGTACCAGCCGATAGCCTCCACGCGGTGACCATCACTGGGTCGGCGCCAGCTGCCCCGCGACCCGCCGGGTCATCCCAAGCGTCTCTGGCCTCCCATCCAGTCCCTCACAAACGCGGCCAGCTCTCCACTCCTGTATTTTGAGGTCGAGGCCGCACGAGGATGAGCGATGGGACGAGAATGACACGTGAGAGACGCCGCGCGCGGCTAGCCGGCGGCGCGCGCGGGCCGGCGGCACGCACGGCCCGGCCAGACGGAAGTGGCTACGACCACCAGCTGTCGGCAGCGCCCAGTAAAACAAAAGTTGCCGCCGGTGGCGCCGCCTATAACCGCCGGTGGCGCAGTCTGCACGAACCGGTCGAAACCGTGGCCGACGGCGTCTACATGAAGGAGTTGTAGTTGTTGCCAGTCATCTGGGAGGAGCCATTGAAGCCGCCCATGGCGCCGTAGCCGGCCGGGTTGAAGCCAGCTGGCGAGCGAGGTCAGGTCAGTTTTGATGTGCCGACATCAGCGCCGGGAGAGGGACGGACGCACAACACGCCAGCACACCACGGCCGGCAGGGCCGGGCGCTGCCACACAGCGGGGGACGCAGGGCAGCAACCAGCAAATAACCGGGCAACACGCCTCCGCAGCTATCAACGATCGAAACAAATGAACATAAAGCCACAGGCCAAAAAGTGAGTCCCCAAACCAGAAACGCTGGTTTGCATGTGCCCAATGGCGCACTCGTCTGCACCGAACCCAACAATGACAGCCAGCGGAAGGAACCGCGGCAACCGTCACCGCCGACCACGTCGCGACGGGCACACACGAGCCATCAGGAGAACTGAACACGACGCTGCACCGTCCCAGCCACGCCACGACCACGCTGTCCGCGCTGCTCACCAAAACCGCCGGCCGCCGTCGCACTGAGCCCGCGCTGCGACCGTCAATGCTCACCTCCGCTGTAGTCGGCCTGGGCGCCGTCGCCGGTCACCGGCCACTGTCCGCCGGCGTAGCCGCCGCGGCCCAGGCCGGCGCCGAAGCCCGGCCCGGCCTGCGGCACCGCCTGCGCCGCGTAGTTGCCGCCCGGCGTGCTGTTCAGGAACAGCTCGATGTAGCGGTGCGCCATGTGAGACTTGTCCTGCAGCGGCGGCGGCGGCGCACGTCAGGCGCCGACGCCGCACGCGCATGCGCACGCGCACACCCACAGCGCACCAACGGCGGAAACGCGGAGCGGCGCGACATGACGCCACAGCTGGAGAAGCCAACGGAGCTGAGAACGGAGTGCCAGGGCCTGGCGGGGGCGGGGGTACACCGCCGGGAGTTAAACACCGAGCTGCGCTGCAGCGGCGCGGCGCCAGACCCGGCGCGCCGCCCCACCCACCTTGGACATGGCCTTGACAGCCTCCTCGTGCGACGAGAAGTCGACGTTGGCCTGGCCGGACGGCCGTCCCATGTCGTCGAACAGCATGTGCACGTGCACGGGGTTGAGCGGCCGGAAGAACTGCGGGCGGAACGTAGGCTGGTCAGCGGGTCCACCTGGTTCAGTGCCGAGACAACAGCCGGTCAGTAACCCCCACGCGTTCACCGCAGGACCTCGAACGCATTACAAAGCCGCACCGAAAGGAACGTGCCAGAAAAACCGCCAGCGGTGGGGACCGATCCCGCCGCTGAATGGCCGGCCCGACTCGGATCCAGACGCATTCCCCCCACGGCTACCGTCAGCGGCAGGCGGAACTCACGTCAATGACGTCGGACTCGGTGCTGCGGTAGGGCAGACCGCGCATGTGCACGGTGTGCCCGGTCATGCTCTGCCAGGACTTGCCGCCGGCGCCGCCGCCGCCGCCCATGCCCTTCATGGCGCCGCCCAGCATGCCGCCGCCGCGGCCCATGCCGCCGCCGCCGCCGCCGCCCATGCCGTTGCCGGCCCAGGCGCCAGCGCCGCCATCGCCGTAGTAGTCCTCGTAGTCGGCCTGGAAGCCTGCGACGGACGCCGCGACCAGGGGGTGAGGCGATGTCGCAGTGGCGGCACACCAGCCCTGTGCCTGCACGGGCGCCGAGCGGGCCGTCTGGCCCCGCGCGGGGCTGAACAGCGGCCGTGCCCGAACAGTGAGGGGAGCTGCTCCCAGCCCCGGAACGCGGTAAGTCAGCCCGACTTCACTCCACGCGCAGGGCCGGCATCATTCCGGCCACTAGCCGTGCTATGTGATCGGACGCTGTCCTGTCCCCAACAGGCAACACGTTCCATTCTTTTTCGACCGTCCGGTAAAACAGCGCGCCCCGCCCAGCAGTCAGCCGGAACACATCCCCAGTCGGCAGAGCGCCGCCCACGGCCAGACCGCGTCCCCGTCCGGTCAGCCCAGAGGCCGGCCCCCTCCAGCCGCCCACGGCCAGACCGCGTCCCCGTCCGGTCAGCCCAGAGGCCGGCCCCCTCCAGCCGCCCACGGCCAGACCGCGTCCCCGTCCGGTCAGCCCAGAGGCCGGCCCCCTCCAGCCGCCCACGGCCAGATCGCGTCCCCGTCCGGTCAGCCCAGAGGCCGGCCCCCTCCAGCCGCCCACGGCCAGACCGCGTCCCCGTCCGGTCAGCCCAGAGGCCGGCCCCCTCCAGCCGCCCACGGCCAGACCGCGTCCCCGTCCGGTCAGCCCAGAGGCCGGCCCCCTCCAGCCGCCCACGGCCAGACCGCGTCCCCGTCCGGTCAGCAGAGCCCAGAGGCCGGACCCCTCCAGCCGCCCACGGCGCCGCGCCTACTCACCTCTGCGAGCGCCGCCGCGCGCGCCGGCGCCGTAGCGGCCGGGCCCGCCTCCCCAGCGGTCTCCGCGGTCGTACGGCGTCGGCCGGGCCATCATCAGCGGACGGACCTTGCCGGCGCCCTGCGCCGCCCGGATCTCGTTCAGGCTGCTCCGGAAGATCTCGATGTACCTGCGGCGGCGGTGGCGGCCGCGAACAGTGAGCACCGGCGCACGGCGAAACGGCGTACGACGCCCCGAACAGCGCCAGACGCCGCGACAGTCCAACACGGCACACACCACCCGTACGGCACAGAACACCATCTGCACGGCACGCGAGTCTGAACAGCACACCGCCATTAACACATCACAACACCGTCCACACAGCACATGCCAGTCTAAACGACACAGCCCAGACGACGCACAGCAGTCCACACAGCACACTGCACTGTCCACACAACGCGGTATGCAAAACACACAACACAACAAAACCCACACGGCCCACATGGTCCATATGACACACGCTAGTCTGTTCGGCATATCCCATGCTATCACACACCTCACACAACACAGTTCAGAGGGCACACAACGCAGGCAGTCTACACAGCACATATGACACAACCACCACATCACGCAACAATCTGGATGGTGGCGCACATACACAGCCAGACCTGGCACACAGTTCAACATGCCCCACAAACAGTCGCGCATAGTACGAAAACAGCCCAACATGGCACAATGTCAAACATGTCCCACAAGGTCAAACATGGCACACAGTCAAAAATGGCAGTCAAACATGGCACACAGTCCATCATGGCACACAGTCAAACATGACACATGAATACATCTGCGTGTCAAATACCACATACAGACACAGCCAATCGCGTCCCGCAAACACATCCCACAAACACTGTCAAACACCACACACGTGCAACACGGCCACGGGCCCAGCGGCCGGCGATGATGACCGCCCTGTGGCGCGTGCCGCGGCTGGCTTACTCGACGGAACACTAGCCAGCGCCGAGCCGACCACAAGCGCGGCAGGCAGCCCACTAGCGCTCGGCGGAGCCACAGACGGCAGAGACAGAGCCGAGGATACAAACAGTGAGGCGCCGCCCCACACTCCCTGATTCTGCTGGACGCCTCCTGCCGTCTTCTCCGACCCGTCACCTCCGGAGCCCGCCAGACTTCCCAGCCGACCTCCAGAGCCCGCCAGACTTCCCAGCCGACCTCCGGAGCCCGCCAGACTTCCCAGCCGACCTCCGGAGCCCGCCAGACTTCCCAGCCGACCTCCGGAGCCCGCCAGACTTCCCAGCCGACCTCCGGAGCCCGCCAGACTTCCCAGCCGACCTCCGGAGCCCGCCAGACTTCCCAGCCGACCTCCGGAGCCCGCCAGACTTCCTAGCCGACCTCCGGAGCCCGCCAGACTTCCCAGCCGACCTCCGGAGCCCGCCAGACTTCCCAGCCGACCTCCGGAGCCCGCCAGACTTCCCAGCCGACCTCCGGAGCCCGCCAGACTTCCCAGCCGACCTCCGGAGCCCGCCAGACTTCCCAGCCGACCTCCGGAGCCCGCCAGACTTCCCAGCCGACCTCCGGAGCCCGCCAGACTTCCCAGCCGACCTCCGGAGCCCGCCAGACTTCCCAGCCGACCTTTGGTGCCCGCCTGTGTCCGGGGCCTCCTTGCAGCCGTCGCGACACCGTCACTTGCCGCCTTACCGTGTGGCCCGCCAGGGAGCGTGCTGGTCCCCACAGTCGGCGAGCGCTGCCCGCGGACTCCTTACCCGCGCTCTCCCTCTCCGGCCTCGCGTGCGCTGTGCAGTGAGCCCGTTTGATGTAGCCGCGCATCCCGTCGGCTCCAGCCAAACTGTGTGCGTACGTGTCCCGCGTCGTGGCGCGTTATGAAGGCCACTGACAGACTGGATGGGTGGGAGGGGAGAGCAGAGAAGGGGATAGGGGAAAGGGAAGAGGGAGAGATGACCGACGGGGGAGCTAGCGAGGAGCGAGAGATGAGAGGAAGAGGGAGCGACAAATGCGCGAGGGAGGGAGCGAGAGATGGGCGGGAGAAGGAGCGAGAGGGAGCCAGATATGAGCGGAAGAGGGAGCGAGAGATGGGCGGGAGAGAGAGCGAGAGATGAGCGGAAGAGGGCGAAAGAAATGAGCGGGAGGGGCAGCGAGAAACGAGCGAGAGAGGGAGCGAGAAATGAGCAGGGGGAGTGACAGATGAGCGGGAAAGGGAGCAGGAGATGAGCGGGAGAGGGAGAGACAGATGGGCGGAAGAGGGAGAAAGAAATGAGCGGGAGGGGCAGCGAGCAATGAGCGAGAGAGAGAGCGAGAAATGAGCAGGGGGAGTGACAGATGAGCGGGAAAGGGAGCAAGAGATGGGCGGGAGAGGGAGCGAGAGATGACCGGGAGGAGCGACAGATGAGCGGGAGAGGTAGCGACAGATGAGCGGGAGAGGTAGCGACAGATAAGCGGGAGAGGGAGCGAAGAGCGAGAACGTGTCGCCGCGAGGGCGGGGCGCCGCCCGCTGTCTCGGCTGGCTGCCGTGTGCGCCTGTGTCGGTGCCGAACCCGGGGACCAGGTCCGGCCCCGGCGGCCCTCCGCGGTCGTGTGTTGACGCGCGCGCGTGGCCCGTCCGCCGCCACCCTCACCTTCCCGCCAGCTCTGCCTCAGCGCCCCCACCTGTGGCCGATTTTCTCCTTATTTTTCGCCAGCGCCCGCTCGGCCACCTCCTTGTTTACAAACTGGACGTAGGCCTCCCCCGAGGAGCGGCCCTGCCCGTCCAGGGGAATGGTTATCCCGTTGGGAACCACCTCCAACCCTGTCGGAGCACCCAGACAGAGAGTGGCGTTACCGGCCCGCCGCCGCCGACACACACACACACACACAAACACAGGGGCGGGGGAGGGGGCGACCGCGACGGTACATGGGGTACCGGGCGAGGACTGGTGTTCGCGCCACAGACGACTGGCAACATCTGCTGATCAGCGACCGTGGCCCTGCGAGGATGATCAATTCTTCGCCTTCACAACATACGGTTTCCTCCCAGGCGTTGGCTCCGGGTCTCACCATACATTCACACCTGATCCGCCAGGCGGATCGCGGAAAATTGTACCATGCATCAGAGCAAGGATTTAGGGCAGAGCATTAGAGCGAATGCATATATCTTACACCACACAATTTTCGCACCTGTTTTTGCACGTGCTCCGAAATCAACGGTTCAAATAAAACACACGCGATGCTTCCCTGGTGAAGCACACCATACCGCATCTGGCTCGGCGCAGGCGCCAAACACCAGCTTCATCAACTACAAAACCAGAGCAAGGTTTCACCACATGGCCAACGTTGACCGAAACACTACCGGACGATATAGTCTTCCGGACGAGCCCCACATTCTGGCGGGAGTCACACAGTAGTCACAGAGCCTTGCAGTGGCCAGAGCACTGACCAGCAGGCAACAGCCCCATCAGCTCAGCACAGACCATACCCATCAGCGGCGGCGTGAGCCGGCCGGGAGCTGGGAGAGGGGTCCATCACCACACACACGAACACCCACACGCACGCACGCACGCACACCCACATGCACGCACGCAAACACGCGCGCACACCCACCCACACGCACACCCACATACACCCGCTCACACACCACTGGCTTGGCGCAGCGTACGGTCTAGACAGCGTGGCAGCGCTGGACACACCATACTTTGCCACAATACCAAGACCGGGAATCGCCACGACCAACCATTACTTGTGGCCATGCCTGGAGAAGCTCAGTTCCAACAGCTTCTGCGCCATCAGCATGCGCATTACAAAGGCCCCTTCCACATTTATAAGGGGTCTGAACTGGTATGACCACCTTGAAGACCTTTCCGTGCTGCTCACAACCCTGCCCTTCTCCAGACCTAAGCCTCTCTGATTTCTGACCTACACACCCGTGAAATGGGGAAAGGTATTTCAGGGAGATTATTCCCGTCATGTTGGCATTTATGACGTCATAATAACGTCATCCAAATGCCGCCATTCCATCAGCCATGTGACGATCGAGGCCAACACAAATATAGTTGTCAAGGTGTTCATATCTGGCGTTCGTGAGCACGATTTCCAGATAAAGCGACCGTCAACTGGCTCACAATCAATGGTATGCAAGGTACGGTGGCCTTGTCAACTGATGACGCATTGAGGAGCGTATTTACTAAACAAATAATTGTGCTGTCTAGAAGTCTTTTACACTTAAGGATTATACCAAAAGATCTAAGTGAACTTATCCAATCATATATCATGTTCGCTTCCATGCGAAATATTCTCTTAGAACCTCGCCAGTGTCATCCCCCAAATACTTCGGGATCGCCCACTCCTCCCGCACATACTCCCGTCACACGGCAATGGCCCCCCACCTAGCCGACGGGAATGCGGCCACACCCAGCAGACACCGCCGTCCCCCTCGGCCGGCCACCCGACACAACACCGCGCACCACGGCCCGAATCGGCCCGCTCCCTTCCCGCGCACGCACACCAGCGCGGGCCACAGCAGCGCCGCTCACCCGAGAAGAAGTTGGCGATCTCCTCCTTGGAGCAGCCGAACGGCAGGCCGCGTAGACGGACGCAGCCGTCGTCCATGGACGAGGCGGCGTTCATGCCGGACCGCTTCACCACCCACTCCATCTCGGAGCGCTTGGAGCGGAACACTGGCGGCCGGGCCCGGCGCGGTCAGGTCGCGTCACGTGGGGGCGGCGTCCGGGCGACGCCGGGACGGGGGCTGCGGCCCCGCTCAGAGAGAAGATTACGTGCCATCAGGTGGGGGCGGGAACGGCGGCGCCGCGCGCGCGCGCGCGTGCCGCCGCTCGACCGCGCCACGTCCGGCTCAGGGTAATGCATCACGGCCGAGGTGAATGCGGCACGGCCGCCACACGGGGACGCACCGGCGCGACCTATAGCGGAGTACTAGGAACATCCCACCACCACCACCACCATCCGTCCGTCCGTCCGTCATATAACCTCACATTTCCTGGGTGCAGAGAGCGCACCTGCGCCGAGTGAACAGAAGGGGAATGACAGGAGCACGGCCACAGCCAGCGGCTCACCCTCCAGGTAGCGGTGTCCCATGGTGCAGTTGTGCTTCTTCTTGGCCGCCTCGAAGTCGGCCTCCGAGCAGAGCTCGACGTACGCCTCGCCGCTGGGCCGGCCCTCGCGCGACAGCGTCAGGTAGATGCCCGACGTGCCGCCCTTCACGTTCACATTATCTGCCGGACATTATCATTATCTTATCTGTTCACATTATCTTATCTGTCAGCTCCGGTCACCGGGGTCGGGCAGCGCCGGCGCGGCGCCGACCGTCGCGCCGGCGCACCGGCGGTCGGGCCGGCTCGCCGAGGCCAGGTGACACCGAATCAGGCGAGGTCAGGCCCAGTCGATGTAGTGGTGCAGGGCGCAAGCTGCATCAGCATGGCTCCAGTTCAAATAACACAGGCTGCTTTGTTCCTGCGTCCCACAGTGCTCCAGCAACGCCTGGGTCATCCCAGTCCACCCCCTCTAGCCAAGCCTTCATCTGTCAAACAACAGCAAACGGCACACACGGACGGAGGAGCAGCGACACACGGCGATCTCCACCCCGGCCCAGCCGCCACCAACGGACGTCAGCCGCCGGCCCAGCCGCGCACCAGCGGACGTCAGCCGCCGGCCCAGCCGCGCACCAGCGGACGTCAGCCGCCGGCCCAGAAGCCACCAGCGGACGTCAGCCGCCGGCAGTCCACCCACCAAAAAACTTGATGATGTCGTCCTCGGTGGCCGACCAGGGCAGGCCGCGCACGCGGATTACGAAGCCCTCCTCGGCGCTGTGGTCACCAGACATGCTGCCAATGGAGTAAGGGCCAGTCAGTGGACAGGGCCAGCAGTCAAGGGATGCTGGGTTGCTGGGGAAAGGGGAACAATATCACAGCAGCATCTGAAATTCGATTTTGGTTGTTGCAGAAAGAACAAAACAAATTTCAACTGTGGCCCATAGTGAATAAATAGCTTAGGTGAGTTTGCCCTGTGTACACCACTGGCACTGTCAGACATTCTTAAGCTTAGTAGTTTTCTTCCATAGTTGACAGCAAACACCAACAAAAGCTGATATTAGAGATCCCGAAAGACCATGGATGATTGGCTGCTTGTAATTCTGAAAGCCTCTAGCCCCCAAAGCTTGTGCCTCCTGTGTGAGTGCATGCTCCCTGTGTGTGTGTGCTCGTGCCTACAATACTTTTTGAAGTAATGGGGCAGATAGGAAGCTGTTTACATTTAGTTTGTTAAAGGTGTGGCCTAATTTAATGCTGGTAGACAGATGCTGAAAATGTTGTGCACCTGCAGCATAATCCCCTGCGGACACTGACTCACGCAGACACCAGGCCAGAGCCCGCCCTCTTAACAACCACAGCGTCTTGATGGGCCAGGGAGAAGAGAGAGAACAGAGAACATCTTGTATGAGTCACAATTCAATGTTTCTGAATTGCACATGGAAATCACTATACCACAGTGCAAACTGATACAAAAGTACACATCACACTAACATATACCCCTACACATAGCATGAATTAATCATATATGTGAAAATTGTTAAGTTCTTTTTAAATAGTATCCTTTTAAATTAGCATTTGAAGCTATCAAAAATGGAGATTGTATTTAGGGTATAATGGTGATGTCATACAACATCCCCAACAATGGCTCGCACACATGGAAATCCATGGCTCCACAAGTCCCTGGCTCTTGGGGAGAATTTAGCGTTAAAGAAGGTATATTCTCCAGAAGATCGGACCTAAATATGTGATGAACCCACATCAAAACACATTAAACAAAAGCTTTTTTTTTTTCTCCACTGCTCCACAGATTGTCACCACATAATTATTATCAGTGTAAAACTAAGGCAGGGTTTCTGGTTTTCCACTGAGCAAAACTTTTGGTTTGATATTCATTGAATCATGTCCATTATTGAATCATAATATTCATCGCATTTATCACATCACAATCACATCATATTCATTGAATCAATCAATCAATCATGAATCATGTATGTTTCTGAGGTCTACCTTTTATTTGAGCTGGCTTCTGTCAACAAGTTCTCTTTTACAAAATCATTTGGGTGCTAAAAAAAACAATCAAAACTGATAAACAACTCATAGCAGCTATGTCATTGAAGACTTCTATTCCATACTCCAAGTTTGTAAGAGCCCACATGGGTATCACGTGGCCACATATTCTTTCCTTTAGGTGAGAAAGATTGTATGTTAGCTAGAACATAGCTGCATTAACTACTATGCCTCAGATGTTCCTATTTGTGTTAGTGTGGCTTGCATGACATCTTGATACTAAGTTTGTCATAACATGCTCGAGGAATTGCTCAGCACATACACAACATTTCAAGCGCTGGTTTTTATCTGCCTTCAATGGCTCACACCTTCAATGTAGAATTGTCAATATCAACAACTTTCTATTAGCTCCATAGCTTCAAAAAATACAGCAGCTGTGAACATAGATTTAGGAAGGAGCACTTACATATGAAGCTAGAAAATTTAAGAATTGCAAGCAGCCAGTCCCAAACAGCCTTTGGTAATCACAGAAATCAAACAGAGCATAGTGTTTACTGCCATCTGCTGCCAAAGAGCAACCTTCAGTGCCAGCTGTGAATGCCATGCAAATTCAGATGGCCTATTTTTTCTCACTACAAGCTATGATTTAATATTTTTTCTCTCCCCCAAGAGCAAACCAAATCTCAGATACTGCTGCGTGCTGAGCACTGAAAAGAAGTATTGTGCATGATATGATACAAAGATCTGGCTGAAACCTCCTGCAGCATCCTCCTTTAGTTGTGGTGTGGCAACTGCTGCATCTGCAGTTTGGGGACAGGTCCATCCCCATCTTGTGTTGTACAGAGCAAACAAATTTTGATATTCTTTGCAGTGTGTACTTGTGGATGATAACATCACTCAGCACCAAAACACCAATATTCCCTATAATTTCAAGCATTTCACTCCAGCCACAGGAAGTGAGCAATACTAGACACGCTTCAATCCACATGTATGGTGATGCCGGACCAGTGTTAAAAGTTGAGAAGTGATTGGAAAATGGCAGGTCAGGGTATACATTGCTACCTCATGTTAAGAAAGAGCATTCATCATACATCAATTGTCATTTTTAAGGCAGGACATACTGTAATGAATCATTAAACAGGTCATCTAAACTCTTACCTTGGAACTTAACTAAAATAGCGAACATCCGAGCGCAAACAGGCAGCGACCGCGACCCCAGCGCCATTTCTAGGGGTGATCACAACATTACTGTGTGCTCACAACATTAGTGTGCATTGAGAACCATAAAAATGTACAAGGCCAAGGTAACAAGAATCCAATTAAATGTGTTTCCCACATATCCAAGCAGTCTTACATATTGTTTGCAGATTAGTCAACATGGTGGGGAAATGACATTTTTGGGTAGGAATGAAAAGCAAAATGAGAATATGGCAGCTGAACAAAACTTAATATGGTACACATAAATGGCATGAAACATGGCTGCCAATGGGACACTGGGTTGAAGGGGATAGGGTGGGGGTTAGGTTATGTCAGGTTTGGTTGTTAAGCTAGGCTAGGCTAGGTTAGGTTAGGCTAGTTTAGGCTGTGTTCTGAGCTATTCTGGCCTGTCTGTTTCATTAACATACCTAGATGCGACACAAAATGTTTTTCATTGCATTATTATTAACTTAGTCCCTTACATTTTTTATGGTTCTTGTTAAGCAGAAATATTGTATTATGCAACGACGCAGGAACGGCCCTGGAGTGTCAAGGCAGTGGGGTGCGTGCGGCACTCGGGAGCTTGCGGTCATAGTTATTCAAATTTGAAGGTAGGAGCATCAATCTACCTGTTTCTAGACTATTTACAACATGTTTTGCCTTAAACATGACAGATGTATTAATTTTTTCTAACCTTAGGTACCAAGGTATACCTGCACCAAATGGTGCATAATGAAAAACCTTTCCTTCAATCACTACACTTCCCCACATCATCCTTGTTGATTTTTGACATTTTTTTTCACACGGAGGTAACTGGCACGCTAAGCCGATTGAAAAGGTTGATGGTCATTTTACAATGACGATGATAATGAGGTTGATTGGTATGAGTTCCCGCTTGCTGACGATTCACTAGACGGCGACTCGTCTCTCCAATCCTTGCGGGCAACCAACGACTACATGGATGAAGCCGGTTCACCCCACCAGTCACAAGGCTTCAGCGAGACAGGCTAACCATTAATTATCAAAGGTGTAAGCGACATAAAGCAGCAGCAGGTGTCTCACCTGATGAATGAATAATACCAGCGGTTCAGGAAATATTCACGCGGGACGAGTCCTCCGTTCCCTCACCCCTACTCGTACACAAAATGGCGTCTGTTTGGGAATCGACCGGAAATCAACGAGTAGTGAGATACATGATGGCGAAGATAGTTCCGATTTAGGGATATTGTTTTATTTGATTGGCCGAAAGTTATGGTCAAAAATAAGGAAAAATCCCAAATATTTTTGCTCACGCAAAAGTATGAAGCTCATAAGCTGATGGTGAGAGTACATCGTCACCAGCGCTTCTGATGTCTATGGTCACTGGCATCTGCCCGCGGTGGCAGCACTATCGCGTGGCGCCATGTCGGGTGCCGCTAAACCCTTCTCATTTCCTCGCCGCTCCTTACCCTGCCTTACCTTATGGTGATCGATAATTATAAAATGCCACTAGGCCTGTAGGTCCTGGTCTCGTCAGGCTCCCAGTCCGTTAACCAAACAGTCAAATTAAGGGTAGATCCAGTGTGGGATGTCATACATTATGTCAACCCACTGCATATCAAGCGTAGTCTAGAACTGTTCAACTGAGATTGACGACGCGACCAGGTGTGGAAGAGCGTTCCAATCGTTGACGAACCGCGTGCTGAACGAGCTACGACGGACGAGAGCCCTAGCTCGAGGTTTTCTCAGTCTCCATTGCTGTCCTCTTGCTACCTCCGAATTGTGCCTTGTCAGGGACTCTTCTTCCGACAGCGACATGCCTCCGTGAAACAGTTGGGACACTGTTCACATGTCTCCCCTGCGACGACGGTGGTACAGCGAGGGCAACTGGAGAAGTCTGAGCCTCTCAGGGTATGGCTGGTGCCTCACTTCATGGACAAGACGGGTAGCTCGTCGCTGAACCCGCTCCAGCCGCTTCTGGTCCAGTTTGCCGAACGGGACCCAGATGACTTTGCCATACTCTAAGCACGGACGTACTAAGATCTGAAAGAGCAATGGCTACGTGCAAGCATCTATACTGGCAAAAAACCGCCTCACGACCGCCACCATTTGGCTAGCCTTGGAGATCGTTTACGCCGTCTGCACGTGGAACTTGACTTTGTAATCCACGAAGATCCTGAGGTCCTTCTTGGTGGACTCAACCGCGATTTTGGTGCCGTCCGAGGAGAAGGTCAGCCTCGGGTTGCAGATTCCGCTTTGCATTATTTGCACTTCGCCGCACTACAGGGGAGCAGGCACTCCTTTGACCACTTGGCCGAGGCGTCGAGGTCAACCTGCAGAGGTGAGTCAGTCAGGGGCCTCGGGACACGACAGTAGACCTTGGCGTCATCTGCAAACATCTTGACCACGCTTCACACTTGTTCTGACAGATCGTTCACGGAGATTATGAACAGCGTTGGTCCAAGCACTAATCCTTGCGGGATGCCGCTGACGACGTGGGTCCAGTCCGGCTTCGAGCCCTGAACTCTCACTCTCTGCATCCGGTGAGTAAGGAAAACCCTGATCCAGCGTAGCAAATTGCCTCTCACAGCGTAAGCATGAAGCTTGAAGAGCAAGCGATTGTGAAGCAAAGAATCAAAGGCTTTGCTGAAGTCCAGGTACGCCACGTCCACGGGCTCTCCATCCTCTACCGCACTCAGGAGCATTTGTAATGTCTTCTTAAGACAACATAAGGAAGGATACACACACAAGAAGAACTTGACATTTGCTTAGTGCTAGCGCATTACTGACTTCATTTGTTGAAACACGGAGAAAACACTGCGTTAAATCGCAAGCCAACCGCATACTAGGTTTGGTAATCTGGGCTTCTGGTCCAGATATGCTAGTCGTGTGCGTATTGCAGCAACAATGCTCTGGGAACCGCACGAAAATGTTGCAAAAACAAATACTTAGGTGGCGATTGTGTTTGAGTTAATATGTGGTACCGTTGAAGGGTACACCACAAAATCAACGTTGTTGGTACATGCATACAAACTTTTGAGGGCGAGTCTCACACATCTACTTCATCAACAAGCAGTGGATGCGATCAAGAGTTTGTCGCTTCATACGGACTGAACACTGCCGCATCATTCGTCAACAGCTAATCAAAGCACCAGCAGGGTGTGCTGTACACTATTCCCAGCCATTGGTGTAGGAACAGGGAGGCCAGGGGTGGAAATGGCCAACCTCACATTTGCCGGGGGGGGGGGGGGGGGGGCAGTAGTGTTAAATGCCCCTGCCCACTTTTTCAGAATGAGGTTGTGTTCAGCTTGCTTTTGCACTTCATTAAACGTACATGACGATTTATATATTTCACCGGCCATCTTCCTTGAGATGTGTCATTTTTTTCGTTCGCTCATTGGCCATCGCTTAGTGTCATATCCGCAGGGCGGACACCGCGCGGCCCATGGAGACTACAACGCCGGGCGTCGAGGCTGTTGTTGGGACGACTTGCGAGCGCGCATGTTCAAAATAATATTTCGCGGCTTTTTGATCAGTGATCAGTTCTGTTTGAACCTTGAACATTTTAAGATGAACATGGATTAGCCATGTTAATACAAATTTGGGACCACTCTCATCTAAAATCTACCTTCAGGGGCCCTCAATATTTCTGAAGAACACAGAAAATCATGGAACTGAAATGTATGTGAAATTATTGGACCAGCTACGGCGATCAAGGATGTTGTTGCCTCAATGACGGTTTCTGTGCTGATCCTGGGCCAACTACGCGGGTCAGAAGGCCTCCCGTGTCAGGGGGGGGGGGGGGGAACAATATGACATGATATATCCTAATGGCGTCTGGATCGACCAGGAGATCCTGCCCCGTGTCGCCAGAATGACAACCAGAAGACGCTTCGCGGTGGACTGAATGGCTGTTCAGCCCTTAACCGGAAACGCTAATGTACCCCTGGTGTTATACTCAAGGGGCCTCTTGCCCGGGAGGAAATAAGGGGTCTCATTATTGGTGAGTAGAGTGGGGGTCGCATTATTGTTGAATAAAGTGGTTCAAAAGGAACTTTAGAAACGAACAAGGCCATCCCATGTTTGCCTGAAAACGTTCATTTTTTTCAGAATGGATTAGTGAAACAGATTACGTCAAAAGATTTGAACATGCCCGCCCGCGACCTCGAGAGCAAGACAGCGATGGCCTGGGCTACAGCTTCCGTAAAACCGAACGGCTTCAGCCACTGCAAGTGCCACCAGATGGCCGGCGCCGCGTGATGCTTTATATCCGTCGTCTGGACAGATTAATAGTTACAGAAACACGAAATATATAAATTATTCCTTTACCCTTCTCAACCACCAGATTTCAGCCCCACATCGCGGTGCTTTAAAGGTCAATCCATTCTTATCATCAGTCTAAAAATCGCACACGTAAAATATGTGCCCAGACTGACTTCTTAATGAACGAGTTGATACCATAAAGCATTCAAAGGCACTTCTTTCAGAAGCATCATCATTTTCGCCCACTCGTTAGCAACAATTCAATATTAGCTGCTGAGCCGACACTGTGCAACCTACGGAGACTGCAACGCCTGGAGTCGAGGTTTTTGCTTATACGATTTTGCAGTGCGCATGCTTAAAATGATGTCACATAGCTTGCATTTCCAATCGATTTACGAGCTTAAAGGCAATTATTTACGAAGCGGTGTCATTTTCGTCCACTTGTGAACCAAAGCTGAAAGTTAACCACTAGGCTCGCGCTCCGCCAACTACGGAGACTGCAACGCCTGGTGCCGAGGTTTTGTTGCCGAGATTTGCGAGCGCGCATGTTAAAAAACCACGTTACAGAGGTTGTGTCACTCATCGATTCTGACTGAATAGTGAACATTTCCAGACAAGCATGGCTTGGTCATGTTAATACACTTTGTTGACCACTCGATCTGCAATCAAGTTTTCATCTTCAAATTTGTATCAAACATATCGATCTAGTCTAACCCCGCGGTATCCTTAGTATCTGTAGAGCCCAGATACAAATTCTGACAATGCTTCTGAAATCTATCGTTGTAGAAAGTGGCCCACGTTGAATGGTGGACAATGAAATGTCCGTTGGGCCAATTCATACCTGAGGCCGGCAGCTTCCCGGGGGCTATTTTTCTGCGTAGGTGTGGTGTAAGGAAAGATAAGCGGGAAAAAGATACTGGTGCAGGCGTCCAACATATGTTTCACACACCCATTAGTAGTAATACTGGACCAGAAGTATGCAACAAAGCAGTCGTACGATCAGCTCACAGTCAGTCATGCGGGAGACAGCCGGACCAAGGCAGTAGCCGCCAACGGCGATTTGTACCCCTCCCCCCGGTCATTTTTTTAATTTTGTGTACAGTCACAAGTCGGAGGGGGCAATTACCTGGTCATTTTTGTTCTGGGATTTGAGCTGGATGTCCAGGGAGTCCACCCAGCTAAGCAGAGCTTGTTGCTGGGAGAAACTGGGCTGGGCTCATTGGGCTTGCTTTCTAGAAAAAGTTTCTGAAGTGCAGCCTGAGGTTGGCCCTCACTTTTTGAAACGTTCCTACGCCTGTGTTCCTAGCCATACAGGACCAGACAGGACAGCGCAGTGGACTGGTCTCCTTGCTAGAACGTAAAGCCGGCGACTATGTCACTATTGACAAGAAACATAGACTCGCTCTGGCAGGATCGTTGCGAAGCTTGAGGCGCGGTCTCCCAAAGATCGCGGAAGCAAAGATTGAAGCTGGAGCCGATTTTAACGGGCTTACGAGATACGACCGTATGTCAACGACCCTGGCATACCTATTTCTTGCACTTGCCTGTTCAATGAATTATCTGCATGGGAAACTTCGGCTGCCGACCCCTACGACCGCTGACTTCGCGGAGGGGCCGCCGTGCTCACGCCGAGCGACGGTGGGGCCGCCACCCTCCTGTCTGCCTGGCGCTCTACAAACCCACGGCGGTCAGCTTCAGTCGTATCCGATATGATATGGGTGACACCCGTTCGGAAAGCCGCGGGAATGAGGACCTATCACTGGTGGCGGCCGCTGTTGGCTCGGACGGTTCCGCCGCGCTCACGTCCGGCATCGGCGGGACCAACGCTTTACCTGGCGTCCGTGCGACAGGTGGCGCAGAGTGCGCCCGACGCTGTGCCGGATCCCGCGATGGGGCCACGGGGCCCGATATCCGATGCTGCCGTGGGATGGACGTGGACACAC